AATTGTTGTAATTCTTTCCAAGCTAATCACGATTCCACGCGCATGGTTCCACCGCTCGGTCCAGACTGAAGACGTCGGTGTGGAGGAGCATCGGGGCTGGACTGGGAGGGCTGTGGGGAGAGCAAGGAGCTGAGGGGCAGCAGCTGCTGCTTGTCCAGCTGTGCTGGGAGGTGGACATGCTCCTCCACACCCTGGAAGAGCTCTGGGAAACACAGAGCCCTGGGAATTCTCCTTGTCTCCTCCCTCTGACAGACACCAGAGAGCCCCGACTCGCGAGTCCCTGCCCAGCTGCCCTCTTGGCCCAGGGCAAAGGGAAGGGCAGCAGGAATTCCAAGAGGAATCTTCCCAGGAAACAGCGGGACAGAGCTGAGAAAGACAAAAGGAAAAGTGGCCAGTGCCGAGGGCTTTCCCCTCTACAGTGGGTTTTACATGGCCTAATTTTTGGTAGCGAGAGGGCCACAAAGGTAGTTTCTGTGAGAAGATGCTGGAAGCTTCCACCATCTTTGTTGGCTCTGAAGATGCTGCTGGGCCAGTTGCAGAGGTTGGCAATGCCTCTGTGATGACATATTTAAGAAGAAAATCAAAACAACGGGTGCTCCTGCCGTTTCTTCAGGGGTGGCGTGCCGCTGCGGCACCCTGGTGCGGCGCTCAGTGATGCGCCGCCTCTGCCACCGCTATTTCAGCCTGGTCTGCAGTGAGCTTTGTCCTCCTGGCCATCCTTAGCCAGCCACTCCATGGGAGAAGGGCAGGGGGAGCGGCGACTTTTCCTTCCCAGCGCCCCACATGAAGAGAGGTGTTAAATAATACTGGTGCCGCCAACACCCCCATGCCGGTGGCAGGAGAAACACGGCGAGTGATTCCCCCAAAGCAGAACCTAAACAAAATCAAACCTCTCGGCGCTGCGGGGTGCTCCAAGAATTTCAAATTAGTGAAACTTGTTGGTATACCTACGGGCAGCGGTTTTTCTTTTAGATGGAGAAGAGGAAGAAGTGAGGACACGCAAGAGAAAAGAGCGTGGCAGCACCAAGGTCAGTGGGGAGGGAGGTGGAGGAGGTGCTGCAGGAGTCAGAGCTGGGATTCTTCTGCAAGCCGTGTGCACTGGTTTTGCATTAGTAGAGAGGACCATGGTGAATAAAAACTGTCCCCCAGTAATCCATGAAGCCCACGGGGGATGCAGAGATCCACACGCAGTCCGTAAGGAAAGTGCTCACGTTGGAGCGAGTGGATGCCCAGGGAAGCTGTAATCCAGTGGGAGACCCAAAGAAAGAGAGTGAGGGCCCTCGATTCCAAACTAGCGCAGCCTATCCATAAAAGATTACACTCCATGGATAAGTTCTGGGAAAACTGCTTTGCCCATGGGAAGGACCCCATGGCATAGCAGAGAAAGCCTCCTCCCCCTAAGCAAACAGAACAAAATCTTGAGTATCAAATTGACCATAAACCCCCATGCCCTGTCTGTGGGAAGGTGTGAGCAGAGACAGAAGATGGAATTGATCTACAGGCGGTGGGACGCGCCTGCAGAAGGCCACGGCAGCACAGAGAAGCTTGTCTCCGCCTGACCTCGGGGGCAAGAAATGCGACGTGGCAGACACCCTACGGATGATGCCTCGAGTATGGAAAAGTAGAAAAAACAGCAAATTGAGGAGAGAAATCTGTGAGGATGGGACTGCAGAACCTGGAGCTGGAATTGGACAATTTACCCCAACATGGAAATGGACCAAAACTTATAAAAGCGTGAAAACTCGTGACCCGGTGTCCACCTTGGGTGTCGCCATGACCAGGTTCTTGTGCTGCCCAAAGTGTATCCTTTGAGGCCTTTTAAGAAATCCCTGCTTTTTAATTCCTTTAATTCTGTCTAGCCTCTGTTGTAGGTGGCCTCTCAAGCCACCACAGAGAGGACCCTGCAGGGGCCTGCTGGATGAGTGAACACACGTGATCACTCGTGTGTAACGACGTTAAATTATGTTGATGATGTGGCAATGTGTGATAGGTTGCTTAGTGAAGAAATAAGGAAATACTGTGTCTTGAAGAAGTATAAAACCAGCTTTTTCTTGCAATAAACGTCTCAGTATCCCCACTGATCTGAGTCCGTGCATTAATAGTTCACAGGAAAGAGGGAAGGGCTTAGAGGCAAAAAGAATGTTTTAAAAGCTTCTTTTATTTTTCATTATCCTTCTCTGACTCTGTTAATAATAAATTGATTTTATACCTTTAAATTTGAACCTGTTTTTCCCTTAGAGTGCTTTTCTCCCAATCCTCATCTCAGCTCATGAACCCTTTATTAATTGTTTTTTCTGAAGGAGCAGCTTCCGTAGGCGCCTGGCGCTTGGTCAGAATCGAAGCACGACACCCACTACCACGAGAGCCCGGACGTGAAAGCTGTTTTTAATTGAGCGATTGGAAGAGCAATATCCTCATCAAAACACGTTGGAGACATCCTCAGTTCTTCAGTGGGGGTCTGAGCTCACACCGTGCCAGAGGAGCTGTGAGCCCTGGCGATGTGCAGCCACGGCCACCTCGGGGTGGGTGACCTTGGGAAGATGTTTGAGCTGTGGGACACGTCCCAGTCTCTGCTGGAGCTGTGGGGAGAAAGGGAAGGGTCTGCCCTTGGTCA